GAAGTGCAACCCTGGTGGTTGTTCTCCACATTTCAGCAGCTTCTCATGTCATCAACCATGCAACCCTTCTGGGCAAAGGTGGCACACGGAAGATGTGACTCTACTTTTATGCAGGAGTTTTCTCAGAAAATGGTGAAGGGAGGCCTCTCTTCCACCTTAGCTGTTAGCCTGCGGGTTGAACCATAGTTCCTTTTCCTAATGCTTTTCAACAGCTGCAGGAAATCCCTGAAGGAACTTATCTAGAAGTTTGGGCTGAAGTTTCCTAAATCTGAGAGTGACGCTCTTGTTCTTGGTTCCAATAATGCATCTCATGGGGACCAATGAAATCTTGAACAAGTTTTTTTGGGCTGAGAGGGTGAATATGTTGAAACATTGATGCAGTTAGCAGGAGAAAGCTGTCACCCTTTTCTTTTACTCACCTACGAAAGGAATGATGTGGCTGAGTTGAGGAGAGAGAAGCTTTTCTGCCATGGACCTGCAGCTCTAAGGGGCATTGCCATGGAACTCTACAGATCCAAAAACAAACTTTTAGGAAAAGCCTAGCCCGCAACCACTGAAGAATGGAGAAATGGATTAGGAGAATATGCAGTGATGGCAACGCTAAGCTATGTAAAGAGAAGACCATAAGAGAAATTTAATGACAAATGGAAATTTTGTCATGCTTAGCATGATTAATGGAATTCTAGAGGAACTATGAGGGGGAAAAGGAAAGCATTAGAATTTCAACTGGTTAGAAAATCTATTGATGCATAGAATAATGATGCTTTTTCTTATCTGCAAACTCTCATAGAGTAAGGGAAGGTATGAAGAGAGTTGGTTCTGGGGGCCACAGTAAATGGGCTGTTATCTCTGGAATTCCCTTGGCAATGTTGTTTATTATGGTCACCTTAGTTTGTTCTCATTATGTTAGTTTTACCTTTGTTCTACTTTTTTTATTAAATTGTATATTATTGGAAAATAGAAATTTTATATATATACATTTAAAAGAAACCCCTGAAATCGTAATGTTTTCATTGAACAAGAGATGTGTCTGCTTTGATCCAGCAAATGAGTCTGAGTTTCTGATCAGCATGTCCAGTGGCCTTCTGGTGCTTGCCAGGAACTGAATCCTGTACAAAAATCAGTGCCAGGATCATCCCTATTCTGCATCATGAGCTGCAGACTACTGCCCATGTCAGAAGACGATTGCCACTTCTGCAAACTTAATTCAGCAGGATTTCTCCTATTTTCCTAGGCTCAGCTTCCTATGCAATACAATTCCTTCTGGTGAAGATGAATGTTCCACTACTCCATGGGGTCTACCCAGGAATGTACACGTGAAATGGAATGACCGGTGTCCAAGGAGAGTTTCCTGAAGTGAGATGGGAGACCTGTTCCTGCACAACCTCCTGCTGCTGATGTTTCCTTCATGTTTCAGAATGGCTTATTAGATTGGCCTTTTAGAGAAAGAAGCCAAGGAAATCTACACAAAATGGTTGTGGAGCTGCAGGGACCTCAGGGAAAGTTAAAATTCAAGGCAATCTTTCAACAAAGGGGGCCAAAGACAGTTCATGTATTGATTGGATATTGCAGTAGGCTAGACTGAGTGACCGTGGCTGACACAGCATCATCACACAGAGATGTTGACTAGAAGCTGCAACTTCCATGTCCCAGGCCTGCAGAATGACCATTACTCTGTAGCCTAGAGGCCATTGTGTATTGTCCTGAAGATGCTACATAACTGTTGTGCTCCTACAGAGCAGAAGAAAGTTGCCCTGAAGCTTGGCAAACTTGTTTTCTTTGCTGGTTACACTGGCAGAGACACCTCGGGGCGGCTTACAAAGAAAATTGTCAAAACAGAATAACATTAAAAAAATTGGAGCATCTCAGCCATAGTTTAAAACCAATAAATAAACAACAATTAACAATTAAAATATTATTTAAATAAAAAGGTCTTGGCCTGGCACCAAAAAACAAATAACGACGGTGCCAGGTGGACCTCTCTGGGGAGCGCATTCCATAGGTGGGGTGCCACCGCAGAGAAGGCCCTCCTCCGGGTACTCACCCTCTTAATATCCTTCACAGAGGGCTCCTGGAGAAGCGCCTCCTCCGCTGATCTCAGGGGGTGGGAGGGTATATGTGGACGCAAGTGCTCCTTTAGATAACCAGGTCCCAAGCCGTTGAGGGCTTTATAGGTGATAACCAGCACCTTGAATTGGGCCCGGACTTCAATGGGGAGCCGGTGAAGCTGACGGAGAACTGGGTTATATGAGAACAATGCCCAGTCCCTGTCCGCAATCTGGCAGCTCTATTTTGCACCAATTGAAGTATCCAGACCATCTTCAAGGGCAGCCCTGCGTAGAACGAGTTACAGAAATCTAATCAGGAAGTTATTAATGCATGTGTCACAGTCGCCAGGCAGTCGTTAACCAGGTAGGGACACAGCTGATGAATCAGCTGAAGCTGAAGGAAGGCGCTCCTCCCCACCGCTGTTACTTGAGCTTCTAGTGACAGCTCTGGGTCGAGGAGCACTCCCAAGCTGCGAACCCTGTCCCTAAGCGGGAGTGCAACCCCATTCAGGTCAAGGTCCATGTCCCCCATCCCTAAGCCCGACCCACCTAACAACAGAGCCTCCATCTTCTCTGGATTGAGCTTCAGTTTATTGGCTCCAATCCAGCCCATTACCTCGTCCAGGCACCAATTCAGTACAGCCACTGCCTCACCTGGATTAGTTGAAAAAGAGAGGTAGAGCTGGGTATCATCAGCGTACCGATGATTCCTCAGCCCACACCTCCGAATGACCTCTCCCAGAGGTTTCGTGTAGATGTTGAATAGCAAGGGGGACAAAATGGACCCCTGCAGAACTCCATGGCATAGCTGCCATGGTGCAGAGCCATAGTCCCCCAGAACCACCTTCTGGATTTGGCCATTGAGATAGGAGCAGAACCACTGCAAAGCAGTGCCTCCAACTCCCAATTCTGCAAGTCTATTCAGGATACCATGGTCAATGGTATCAAAAGCTGCTGAGAGGTCCAGGAGAACCAAGAGGGAGGCACTCTCCCTGTCTCTCTCACTGCACAGGTCATCATACAGGGCAACCAAGGCAGATACAGTACTGTACCCGGGTCTGAAGCCGGACCGAAATGAGTTCAGGTAATCAATTTCATCCAAGAGTGCTTGGAGTTGTCCTGCCACCACCTGCTCCAACACCTTGCCCAAAAATGGGATGTTGGCCACCGGTCTATAATTGGCGGTCACCTCTGGATCCAGGGATGCCTTCTTTAGGACTGGCCGAACTACTGCCTCCTTTAAAGGGGCAGGTACCCAGCCTTTCCTTAGAGAGGCATTGACAACCTCAAGGATCCAGGTCCCAATCCTGTCCTTGGCTTTCTTGAGTAGCCAAGATGGGCAAGGGTCCAGTAAGCAGGTGGTAGGACGTACTTGTCGAAGCACCTTGTCCACATCATCAGGCCGCAACAACTGAAACTCATCCATCAATTGTGGACCAGACGGCAACATTGGCACCTCCCCAGTAGAATCTGATTCACTAGTAATCCAGCTCATGATGAATCTGAGCGATTTTCTCCCTGAAATGCTTGGTGAAGTTGTCACAGTGGGCCTTCAAGGGTGGCATGAGATCTGTCTTTTGGCTTGGTGTACCAACCCCTGTACCACCCAAAAGAGCTCTGCCGGACGGCATTGTGAGGAGGCAATGGAAGCAGAGAAGAATTTCTTCTTCGCCGCCCTCACCGCCACAGCATAGGCCCAATAGTGGGCTCTTAAGTGTGTTTGGTCAGATTCATCCTGTGATTTCCTCCACCTACGCTCTAGACATCTCCCAACCCTCTTCATCGCCCATAGTTCAGGTGTATACCAAGGGGATGAACGGGCTCTGCCAGGCGGGAAAGGATGCTTAGGAGTGATCATGTCAATAGCCCTGGTCATTTCCCCATTCCATAGTTCGACCAGAGCCTCGACAGGAGCACAAGTCTTGTCAGCCAGAAACTCCCCCAGGGCCTTCAGGAATCCATCCGGATTCATCCGGCTTTGAGGGCGGACCAGCACAATCGGGTCCGCACCCTTACAGAGGGAAAGGCCACTCTCGAGCTCAAACCTCACGAGGAAGTGACCTGACCATGACAGGGGTGTCAGACACAAGTTCCTCACCCTCAGATCACCCTCCTCCTGTCCCATCGAGAAAACCAGGTCCAGAGTGTGTTCATGTTTATGGGTCGGGCCAATGACGTGTTGAGTCAGCCCCATGTCCACCATGGAGGCCATGAAGTCCTGAGCCGCCCCGGTCAGACCCATCTCGGTTTGGAGATTGAAGTTACCCAGGACCAACATCCTGGGAGTCTTCAACAACAAATCTGAGATGACCTCTGTCAGTTCAGGCAGAGAGTCTGCTGGGCAGAAGGGTGCACAGTACACCAACAGAATCCCCAGTCTGTCTTGGTCGCCCAACACCAAGTAGAGGCACTGTAGACCCAGCCTCAAGAGGACAGGAAGCCCTATGAGGAAAATTGAGGCTCCGTAAACCAAAGAACCCCCCCTCCCCTCCAGACATGGTTGGTGCTGGCTCAGATCCCCAGTTGGGCACAGTAGAGAGAGGGGGACGTCCACCCCTCCTGCACAGGTCTCTTTAATACAGGCCAGGTCAGGCCCCTCATCAACAATCAGGTCATGGATGAGGGAAGATTTATTGTGGACTGACCTGGCATTAAGCAGCAGCACTGACAGGCCCAGGGGGGTGGTTGACAGAACTATCTGAAACCCTCAGGCTAGGGTAATAACCAGAAAGAGGAACAGGCACTAGCCATCTGTCCCTCCTTCTTCTACACAGACAAGTTAGACCCCAACGCCATAACATGCATTGCCCATGACTACCCCAATGGCGGCGCCCACACGCTCCCCAGGCAAAACCATATTCGTAGCTGAGAATGACTCGATTAAAAATATAGATTAAAAACATATTGAATACACAGTCCAGATTTATTATTTACCCAGTAATTGCCAGAATCATGGGATTTAATTCACCAGGTCATATCTCCAGTGGCTTTCCAGAAGGCACCAATGAAAGGAAGACAAGAGTGAAGTCTTCCATGCATGCAAGAGCAGTGCAGCAACACGAGTGCCACGCAAAGCTCAGGATTGGGACAGGTGTCAGCAGGGAGCTCGCCAAAGGAGTATTTTCTCCTTCCACAAATAGGTCAGACTTCATTCTCATGGCTTTTAGCACACATTCAAAGCAGACACTTACATTGCTTTGGGAAAATGCAAGGCAGAATTTCACCATAATCACAGCTGGCAAAAATGCAGCTTATGGAAGAATGAAATGGTGAAGAAACATGGAGAAGTACTCAAAAGGGGAGACTTTGACCAGAGTGCTGCTACTGCTGTTGTTGGTGCTCATTCCACAGGCAGCCATCCAAAGAAGGACATCCAAATGCTCTGGAAATGATCCTGTCCATGTCCCGCATGAGTGGCACCAGGCGGGTGAGCTCCTCATTGGTGGGGTGGCATCTCACATTCATTACATATTCCCTGTTCTTAAGTTCAACAAGCACCCTGCTGAGGAATCACTCACGTTCCCATTGTAAGGAACCCTTCAAAGTTCATGTCTTGATTCTGTGACTGCAAAGTGTTGTCCATATTTGCAAAAAGGGACTGCATGTTCTAATTCGTTTGTACTGTTTCACTCAAAATTTCCACTCAAGTTCTTAGGATTTTTTCAGGTACTAATGCAAATCAGGACTAAATGTATATAAAATATCTATGTTTAAAAGGTTATTTAAATAGCATGGCAATGTTACAGACCAGTAGAAGAACAGTAAAATAAAATATCCAGGTAGGTACATAGCAGAAAAATGAAACATCTGGGTATCTTAAAAATGTCACTGGAGCTTAGGAGACTAAATAATCACACAGAAGTTCCACAAAATAGGAATCTTTTGGATACAGTGGCATAACCTATGGCACTGGGCAAGATTCTTTTAGATTCCTTCAAATATTCCCACTATTGCCACAACCGCAGAAATATAAACTGAAAGCCCATTTCCCTGCCTTCATTTGGACTTGGCTCTGATGACCTTTGTGAGATTGCCCCTTTCTTTATACTCTATCACAAAATTCACTGCAGAATTCCATTGTCCAACAAGTTCTCTAACTACACTGAGCCACTTTTTTTGCAGCGTCATCACCAAGTTCTACCAGCATATCCTGGCATTGGTCTTTGCCATTACGGAGATCAATGAAAATCCTAATATATTGCCAAACATCACCCTCGGCTTCCAGATCTATGAAAGCTACTTCGATCCAATTATGACCTACCGGACCAGCCTGGACATGCTCTTCAAATCACATCAGATGGTCCCCAACTATCAATGTGGTACCCTGCAAAACCTCATTGGAGTCATTGGAGGTCTGAGTGCCGATACCTCTGCATGCATGGCCGATATCTTTGCTCTTTACAAGATCCCCCAGGTAAGATGTCAGGAGAATGTGGTCCATCCCGCCACCTCCTGCACAAAGCTGCCCATCCAGCTCCAAAAAGGAATGAGTCAGGAGTCAAACTGATGTCAAAGAAGGTGCAAATAGCAAAAATGCTTCAAATACTCTCCTGAAATGGAAAAGCTTCTCCTAGTGGAAGAAGGACCATCACAACCCCATACTTCATTCATTGCATTCACTTTTGGGATTTTTGGCATAGTTGAAAAAAAGGAGAAAGCAAGTTTAGAAAATAAAGGCAAGGCAAAAAGAGGGGTTTCACAAAATGTGTATCAAAAGGCTTGCTCCTTTGCCATCATCTCTGATATAGGGTGACTCCCTGGCCATATACCCTCCAAAGAGACCTCTCTTTCACTGCCCTGCTCAAATTCTTCCAAATTCTCATCTGCCTCTTGATTGTCACTGCTCCCTCCCATAGATGAGCTTCCTCTTCTCACAAACCCAGTTATGAATAAAAGAAATTTGTCTTTTGCACATATTGGAATGCAAGTTTTGGCCCCTCTGACATGAATACATCTCTTTCCCTGCTGCCCAGTTTACACCAGGGAAAGGTTCCGCAGGCTGAAAAAAACCCAAAGATTGCCTCATTCGCAAACTTGAATTATTCTCTGAGCTGGGACTGAATCACATTTCACTTAACTGAGTTAGCCTTCCTTTTGGGCAGGTGCATATAGCATTGCTCTTTGAGGCTGCAATCTTTCGCCCCTTTTCTCAGAGTAAAACAAAGACTAGAGATGATTGTACTATTCATTGTATTTTAAATTTTATGTTGTATTGAGGGATCATACGTATGAACTTCTTGGTGTTAATTGTATTACCCAGGAAAGATGGGAATAAAGTTGATGACTATCCTGAAAGAAGAAGCTCTCAGACTTACTTTGGACTTCTTGCTTGCGTGCTTGCTTGCTTGCTTGCTTTTCTTTCTTCAGTTCTCATATGGCTCATTTCAAACAACAGTGAATAAAGAATCCCGTTTGCCTTCCTTCTACCGGATGGTCCCCAATGAAGATCTTCAGTATCAGGGAATTGTGCAACTTCTTCTCCATTTCCACTGGAAATGGATCGGGCTTATCACAACGGATGATGAACGTGCAGAACATTTCTTGCAAACCATGGAATCAATGCTTTCCCAAAATGGAATCTGTTTCGAATTCACAGAGAGATTCAAAGGCAACTGGCAGTACTTTGACCTCATTCACATGCTCAATGAAACACTGAGTTATGTTCGCATCTACACTGAGAAAAAAGCCAGTGTGGTTGTTATACATGGACAAAGTTTAAACATTTGGTGGGTTGCTTGTATTTTTTCTGTCACACTGATTTTTCCTTTAACAGATGATGACTATACAGGAAAGATCAACGCAAGAAGAGTGTGGATTTCAACGGCCCAAATTGATTTCACTTTGCATGTGTTTCTCAAGCCTGTTGGAATGAGAATGTTCCATGGTGCTCTTTCCTTCACAATCCATACAAAGGAAATTTCAGGCTTCCAAACATTTCTTCAGACCATTAACCCTGCTGGGACAAGAGCTGATGGCTTTTTCAATGATTTCTGGGAACAAGCCTTTGGATGCTCTGCAGCCAGTCATGGTGCATCAAAGGATATGAATACAACATGTGGGGAGGAGATGCTGCACAGTCTATCCTCACCTTTCTTTCAAATGACCATGACTGGCCATAGTTACAGTATCTACAATGCTGTCCATGCTCTGGCTTATGCTTTCCAGACCACTTCCAGGGCTCCATCCAGCCGTACAGCAATGCGGGGAATGAGGAGCTTGTCACCTCAGAAGGTGGAATCCTGGCAGGTAACACTTCACCACCACCACCACCATCATCATCATCATCATTATCATCATCATGGCTGTTTGTTCCACTCAATAGCACAAACTGCTTTGACCACCTGCATGCTGTTGAGCACTCCATTTTGACACATCAGGAGCACTCTAACTTTGTTTGAGCACCTTCTCAAATTTCTTCCTCACATGTGGAATTCCACCACTGTGCAGTCATAGAATTTAAAGATGATTTTGACACAATCATTGTGTTTGCCATTATGGTGACCATAAACATGTGATTTGCCTCATTTTCCCTAAATCTAGAACCTAAATTATTAATTTTACCACCCTCACATTCACAATTGTTGTCTGTCCTGGAGGACAATACCCTCAATTCTGCAATCAAACCTGCTCTAAAACTTTCCCTCCTTCTTTGGTGCCTTTCTGTCTCCATCTAGCTCCACTCATTGATTCGGAGGGTCTCATTCAACAACAATGCTGGAGATGAAATTAGATTCAATGAACATGGAGAGTTGGTGGGTGTATTTGAAGTCAGGAATTTGGTCACTTTCCCAAATGATTCCTATGTCCAGGTCAAAGTCGGAAGCCTGGATCCTCTTGCTCCTCCAGGCTTGCAATTCACCCTCAATGAGACACCAATCCAATGGCCACGAGATGTGACTCAGGTTAGAAAATGATTGTATTGTTTTGCAGCTGTTTACATTTGCTGACATGCCTTGTAACTCAAGAAATATTTTGAGAAAGCGTTTCTTCAAACAATGCATGAGTCCTTTAGTATACATTGACTGGCATTTGTTGAAGTACAATTATAAAGGGAAAGAAATGTTGATTGAAGACAGTAGGTGTTGATTAACCTTTTGTTTCTTGAAGTGGGAATCAGGAAAGCAGAATTCAGTCTACATTTGGTAGTGAAGATTAAGGGCTAAGATTGGGGAATCACTGGCACTCAGTCTAGTCTAATTCTTTGGGATCTGTGAGAATAGAATGGAAAGGAGGTGGAAGATGATATTTAGTATACCTTGTGCTCCTTAGAGGAAGGTTGAGGGATTATTGGGAATGGATGACCCAGTTGGTTTGGACACTTTTTCAGGATCAAGTTGACATAAACTTTTTGGAGTCAGCTTGGCATGCCATTTCCAGGTATTGAAGGGTGGAACCAGAAGTGCTTCTTTCAGGGATGCCATTCCCAGGTGACCAGGTGGAACCTGAGAAGGTTCAGAGCCTGAGAATGCTTAGAGCCTGCAAGTGCTGGGAAGGGATTTGGGACAGAAGCCAAAGGAACACGAGGAGACTCACATGACCTCAAAACCCATCACGTGGCTTTGAGAGAGGAAGGCAAGACAACTAGAGTGGCGGTGTGCAGTCAGAGGCTAAACTGTCTGCAGAAGGGCTTTCCTGGAGTGGTTAGGTCAAGCACTACACAAAGGCAGAGCTATGGGTTTCTGGATGTCCCTTGGAGAATAAAGAGTTTTGCCCAAAGAGCAGGCTGTTGGTTTGGAAGTAGGGAGGGAGAAACACATTTCCCAGAAGATATAAATACTATGTGAAAACACAAATAAGGTGGATGTTGGAATTCCAATGGAAAAAAGCTGTGACCTTGTAAATGACACCCCCAAGGAAGATGCTAGGCATCCATGAACATATTGTTGCCTTCTACTCAGTCCAATTATTGCTCCTTCTAGCTAGTATTGACAATATGGACAGTCAGTGGGCCCGCCGAGGATTATTGCCAGGAGTATTTCTGGTCCTTCCTGCGTAAGCCTGGATTGAACTCAAGACCTTGCACATGGCTAGCACTGACATGGCCCTGACTAACGTGGATCATTAGGCAAGCCCATCACTGATTTCTTGTGAAAGTTCCAATTCAGTTGGTTGTTGCCCTCCCTTTGGCTCATTCTGCAATTGGCCAGGATAATTAAAGAAAGTTCAATCATCTGCCATTCATGGGAAGCTGAGCATTCAGCCTGTAGAATGTGGCATGTCTGTCCTTATTCCAGTGCTCAATGCATTGGGCTTGCCATTTGCCAGTAGATCAACTGACATGAAACATGCTCCCAATTTTTTTCTTAATGCTCGGCTCTTGCTACATTTCTGGACAGGTGCCACCACTTTCTCTGTGTAATGATCTGTGTGCTCCTGGGTACAGCAAGAAGAAGATAGAAGGGGAGAAATTTTGTTGCTATGACTGTGCCCGATGTCCGGTTGGGATGTTCTCAGACAAGGAGGGTAGGAAATATAATGTTAAAATTCTTTAAAGTTTTAAAGCCTAAAAGCTGCTTTTCTACTACTACTACTGATTCCAGTATTATCTACTACTGATCAGCTTCTTGAAATTCTCTTCTCATTAATTATAGGGGGGGAATTGCATTTCAGGGACATTTTCCTTTCCTTTTCTTATTTTTCTTATATTCCTTTATGCCTTTTTAGCTTATTTCTGTGCTTTTTGGTATTTCTAAAAGCCATCCTGAAGTAGGAAATGCAGTATGGCAATAAATTGTAGCATTAATTAAAATAAAGCTGCCACATACTTCTGCCAAATGGTGGCCTGAACCTTGCTTTGGAAGAGATAACAAGACATTAATTTCATGGCAATTGCAGCTTTTGGGACCCGCAAAGAGGTTAAAGAAGATCTTTCCTTTTTTATCCTGAATTGAGCAATTGCTTTATACAGTTCCCCAGAGGAAAACTGAATATAACATACAAAACACATAACACTTCCTTAATTCAAATTAGGGGTGGGAGAGGATTTGTCCATCTTATTGAGCCAGGGCATTTGCTTAACATGGGTCTATGTAGCTCAAGGGAAGAGAGAGAAAGGGCCATGTATTTGACATATTTAATCACACATAGTGAAAGGAAGGGAAAACACGAAGAGATGTTCAAAGCATTGTATCTAGTCTGTCTCACATGACGGGAAGGGCATAAGAATGGATAAGAGTGAACTAGAAAAGACAGGAAGAACAGACTACTCAGAAGAGAAAGAACAGAAATGGAACCTCCTCAATGGATGAGATTTTTCAAGATTGTGCAGTCATACGCTCAGGCAACAGTTAGTACTTATTACATTCTGGTTCTTATAAAAATTCTTACATGTTTCCTTGTTTTTAGACACAGAAACCTGCATGAATTGTCCAGAGGGTCAACATGCCAACACAGGGAAGAATAAATGCATTCCTAAGATCCCCAACTTCTTAGCTCTGAATGAAACTCTGGCCATCATCTCAGTTTCTGCAGTGTTTCTGTTCTCTTTGACCACAGTTCTGGTGCTTGGCATCTTCATTAGGCATCGAGACACTGCCATCGTCAAAGCAAACAACCGGAGCCTCACCTACATACTCCTCATCTCCCTCCTCTTCTGCTTCCTCTGTTCTTTACTTTTCATTGGAAAGCCTAACACTGTGTCCTGCCTTCTTCGACAAACTGCTTTTGGCATGGTCTTCTCTGTGTGCCTCTCCACAATCTTGGCAAAAACAGTGACTGTGGTTCTTGCATTCATGGCAACCAAACCAGGATCCCAGATGAGGAAGTGGGTGGGGAAAAGACTGGCCTATGCCATTGTCTTCTCCTGCTCCAGCATTCAAGCAGGCATCTGTGCTCTCTGGCTCATGACTTCTCCCCCATTCCCAGATTCAGACATGCACTCCATGTCTGAAGAAATTATCTTGCTGTGTAATGAGGGCTCAGTCCTCATGTTCTGTTGTGTTTTGGGCTACATGGGGCTGCTGGCTGCTGTCAGTTTTGCAGTGGCCTTTCTGGCCAGAAAGTTGCCAGACAGCTTCAATGAGGCCAAATTCATCACCTTCAGCATGTTGGTCTTCTGCAGTGTGTGGGTCTCCTTTGTCCCAACCTACCTCAGCACAAGTGGAAAGTCCATGGTGGCCGTGGAGATCCTCTCCATCTTGGCCTCTAGTGCTGGCTTATTGAGCTGCATATTCTTCCCCAAATGCTATATTACTGTGCTGAGACCTGATCTCAGTAGCAAGGAGCTGCTCATGTGGAAAAAAACATAAATTCAGGAATGCTTCTGTTCCCCCTGTAGTGTCAGGTATCCAACAATCACATAAAAGCAGTTAGCATGAAAAGCAAGCAAAACACCTTAGTTTCTGATGTTTACCAATTCACTCATTCTCCTGAAATAGGGAAATAAGTACACAGAAACCTCTTTGTGTATATTCGAAGACCTCTTCCCAGTATAATCAAGATAAGGCAGCCCCACATCAGGCACCAAAATTTTTGCCTACAAAAGTGGAATTCAGTCCAGGCTTGATCAGGCAAGGTACTGTCAGTTGAAGAGCAGGTCTACATTTGATACTGCTTTACCACATAAGCCTGAGCAAACAGGACTAGAGAGATCTGAATATCTATCTATACACTGGGCCACCTTCATGCTGGGCTGAGAGGGTGAATCTGTTGAAACATTGATGGAGTTAGCAGGAGAAAGCTATCCCACCCTTCTCTTTTACCCCCCTGCTAAAGCAATAATGTGGATGAGTTGAGGAGTGAGAACCTTTCCTCCTATGGGCCTGCAGCTCTTGGGTACATTGCCATGGACCTCTACAAATTCCAACCTGTAGCTTTTAGGAAAACCCTTTCCCCCAACCATTGAGGAATGGGGAAACGGATTAGCAGAATATGCAGTGATGGCAAAGCTAACTTATTATGTAAAGAGAAGACCATTAGAGGAATTTATTCATATGAAAATTTTCTCATGCTTAGCATGATTAATGGAATTCTAAAGGAGCTTGGAGGGGGAAAAGGAAAGCATTAGAATTTGAACTGCTTAAGAAATCTGTTGATGTATAGAATAATGATGCTTTCTTCTTCTCCGCAAACTCTCATAGCGCATGGGAAGATGTGACAAGATTTTTTTCTGGGGGCCACAGTATGTGCACTGTGTTTTTTCTAATTCCCTTGGCGACTTTGTTTGTTTTGCTCACCTTAGTTTGTTCTGTTTAAGTTAGTTTTTCCTTGGTTCCATATTTTTCTATGTAATTGTATATGTTTGTTAAGTAAAAATTCTTTATACACACATATAAATGAATTTAAAAGAAGACCCTAAATGCATATTCTTTAAATTGACCTAGAGATGTTTCTGCTTTGATCCAGCCAATGAGTCTGAATTCCTGACCAGCATGCCCAGTGGTCTTGTGGTGCTTAACAGGAACTGGGTCCTGTACAAAAATTAGTTCCAGGATCATCCCTTTTCTGAAGCATGAGCAGCAGACTTCTGTCCATGACAGAAGACGATTGCCAGTTCTGCAAACTTCATTTAGCAAAATTTCTCTGATTTTCCTAGGCTCAGCTTCCATTGCAAAACAGTTCCTTCTGCTGAAGATGAATGTTCCACTACTCCATGGGGTCTACCCAGGAATATACACATGAAATGGAATGACAGGTGTCCAAGGAGAGCTTCCTGGAGTGAGAAGGGGGACCTGTTCCTACACCGCCTCCTGCTGCTGATGTTTCCTTCATGTTTCACAATGCCATATTAGATTTCCCTATTATTGAAAGAAGTCAAGGGAATCTAAAAAAAATGGGTGTGCAGCTGCAGGGAGATACAGGAAAGTTAAAGATCCATGGCGATCTTTCAGGATGGGCGGCCAAAAACAGTTCATGTACTGATTGGTTATTGCAGTAGGTTAGAATGAATGTCAGTGGCTGGCCCAGCATCATCACACACAGATGTTTACTAGAAGCTGAAACTTCCAAGTCCCAGGCCAGGAGACTAACCATTACTACATAGCATAGAGTCCATTTTGCATAGTCCTGAAAATGCTACATAGCTGTTGTCCTCCTACAGAGCACCAGAAAGTTCCTCTGCATCTTGGCAAACTTGTTTTCTTTGCTGATTGCACTGGCACAGGCACCATTAGAGCCCAGAGATATTATTTACCCCGTAGTTTTATTTATTTATTTATTTATTTATTTATTTATTTATTTATTTTTCGGATTACATCCTGCATTTTTCCTACAAAAGACTAAACGCAGCTTACATCTCCTCCTCCATCTTATCCCTACAACAACAACACTGTGAGGTAGGCTTGGCTGGGACTCTGCAACTGGCCCAAAGTCACCCAGTTGGCTCCATGGCTGAGCGGGGACTAGATCCCGGATCGCTTGAGCCCGGTCCCATGCTCTTAATCACAACACCACACCGTCTCTCTAGTTCTGAACACTGAATGTCAGACTCATGGGATTTAATGCCCCAGGTCAAATCTCCAGTGGCTTTCCAGAAGCCACTGATGAAAGGAAGACCAGAGCAGAGTCTTCCATGGATGTAGCAGCAGTGCAGCGGCACACGTGCCACCCACAGCTCAGGTGTGGGACAAGCGTCAGCAGGGAGCTTGCCACAGGAGTCTTTTCTCCTTCCACAAATAGGTCAGGCATCATACTCATGGTTTTTGCTGTACATTCAAAGCAGGCACTTACATTGCTTTGGGAAAATGCATGGTAGCATTTCACCATCATCATAGCTTGCCAAAATGCAGCTTATGGAAAAATGAAATGATGAAGAATCATGGAGGAGAAGAACTCGAGAGAGGCACCTTTGAGCAGAATGCTGCTACTGCTGCTGTTGGTGCTCATTCCACAGGCAGCCATCCAAAGATGGACATCCAAATGCTCTGGAAACGATCCTGTCCATGTCCCACATGAGTGGCACCAGGCGGGTGAGCTGCTTGTTGGTGGGGTGGCATCTCACATTCATTACATATTCCCTGTTCTTTTGTTTGAGAAGCACCCTGCTGAGGAATCACTCACTTTCCCATTGTAAGGAACCCTTCAAAGTTCATGTCTTGATTTTGTGACAGCAAATTTTTGCCCATATTTGCAAAAAGGGACTGTTTGTTTTAAATTTATTTGTACTGTTTCATTCAAAAGTTCCACTCAGAACCTTTGGAAGTTTTCAGGTACTAATACAAATCAGGACTAAATTTATATTAAATATCTAAGTTTAAAAGGATATTTAGATAGAATGGCAATATTACAGACCAGTAGAGAACCAGTAAAATAAAACATCCAGGTAGGTACATAGCAGAAAAATGAAACATCTGGGTATCTTAAAAATGTCACTGGAGCTTAGGAGACTCAATAATCACACAGCAGTTCCAGAAAATAGGAATCTTTTGGATACAGTGGCATAACCTATGGCACTGGACACGATTCTTTTAGATTCCATCCAATAGCCCCACTATTACCACAACCACAGAAATATTAGCTTAAAGCCCATTTCTCTGCTTTCTTTTGGACTTGACTCTGATGACCTTTGTGAGATTGCACCTTCCCTTATAGTCTAAAACAAAATGCACTGTGGAATTGCATTGCCCAACAAATTCTCCAACTACACAGAGCCACTTTTCTTGCAGCGTGATCACCAAGTTCTACCAGCATATCCTTGCACTGGTCTTTGCCATTATGGAGATCAATGAAAATCCTAATATATTGCCAAACATCACCCTCGGCTTCCAGAT